AGTAGTTAAGTTTCAGATGAAAACCACTTCAGCACTGGAATGTGTAAATTTTACCCTGCTTTTTCGGCATGTCAATGATGTGTTTTGTGCTTGCCAGTTACTGGTCTATGCCAGCTACTTTCCCAGTTTACTGGCATTTGTGTACCGGCTTAATGAACAATTCGTATCTATGTCTCTCTCTCACCAAGAGTCTATCTTCTCACAACACAAACAGTTAACACTTCTCAAAGAACCTTCATTTCCAAAAAGAAACTAAATTGCAAATCTTGTCATTTCAGTTCTGTTAATGTTAGTGTGTGCCACCCACCCTTTGTTTTCCCTCCGTTTTGATACTTTACTTAAGTACCCAAAATGCGCGACTCCTGTATTTTATCTAAGTGGCCCCATCTATTGGGGGCCTTGGAGCTAGAGATTTCAGACGATTATTAACAGGTTGACTGTCAAGCTAATTTAGTATTATTTGCCATTATGTATTTATGTAACATATTAGTACACTGCACATTTTGCTAACGGCAAACCTAACCTAACCTATACGGTGCACATATATGCTGATGTAGTCAATTGTGTGTACAGATGCACAAGTTTAATATTTTATATGAAAATGCTTATTATGAACATGATAGTGTCACGGCAGTCAACCTGTTAAAAAATTTGTACAATTATTTGTAGTCTATTTTCACTTTACTTCCAAATTATTTCAAGATCGATTTTTATTGAACAGAAGGGTGTGCTTTTTTCTGTACGTCTAAGCAACTGTGTAGTGATTACTATGGTTGATGTTCTTCCAGGACAATGCAATATGTAGAGAAAAATAATACCATTAAATTAGTTCACACTTTTATTGATAAATCACCAATATTATAGATAAACAATATTTTACAGATTATTAATTTTAATTTTGTTTGTATCTTATTTTATGTAAAACTTTATCCAGTTTCTGCTACAACTCTTCTGTTTTTTGGTGACCTGCAAATAGAAAAAATCGTTAATAGTGAAAATTATAGGCTTTTGTTCAATTAAAATTTCCTTTTACATTTTTTGTACACTATATAATTCATCGATTAATTAAACTCTTCTATTGATAGTTCCTTATTTATTCTCAACACAAATGAGTAACCCCCTCTGTGGCTCAGTGGTAAGAGCACCTACCTTTAAACCTAAAGGTCGTGAGTTCGAATCTCACCTGGGTGGAAATTTTCGTTTATTAAAAAAATTAATAAATGAAAATAATTTCTATCCTTGTGCGATCGGTACTCACCGGAGGAACCGCAGACGTTCGGATACAATTAGCGTCTCTTAGCAAAGACAATGACGTCGACTTTGCTAAGTATCAAGACAATTACTCTACACACACAAACACACACACACACACACACACACACACACACACACACACACACACACACACTACATTAATAAACTTATCTTGATTGAGACTGGCTGAATGACAATTGTCCAAGCCAAAAGACACAAAAAAAAAAGAAACACAAATGAGTCTTATTTTCTACACTATGGCCCCATTGTTGATAGATTTATGAGCTTTTCCCTTTAAAACCACCATACACCTGTTTCCGACACATACATACTTATTCTCCCTATCAAACGTGCCTGTGAATAAATTTTAAAAATATAAAATTAGTCTTTGAAATTAAGGAAATATCAGTGCATGATTATGAGCATGTTCGAACACAGTCAGAATATGAGGTTGTTCGACAACAGCCGGAATGAGAGGTTTACGAATATAGTCGGAATTTAAGTTTTTCAAACAGAAATGTTAGGTGGTTCGAACACCCAAAATATATGGCCTTGTTCGCACACATCCAAAATATATGGCATTGTTCGCACACATTCAAAAATTTATGGCATTGTTAGAACACATCCAAAATTTATGGCCTTGTTCGCACACGTCCAATATATTATGGCCTTGTTCGAACACATCCAAAAGTTATGGCCTTGTTCGCACACATCCAAAATTTATGGCATTGTTCGAACACGTCCAAAACTTATTGCCTTGTTCGCACACATCCAATATAATATGGCCTTGTTCGCACACGTCCAAAACTTATGGCCTTGTTCGCACACATCCAATATAATATGGCCTTGTTCGAACACATCCAAAATGATATGCTTTGTTACCAAACACCCAAAGTAATATGCCTTGTTGGAACACGTCCAAAGTAATATGGGCTTGTTTGAATACAAACTTGTTCCAATACAGCCGGAATGTGTCTACTCAGCCTAAAAGCCAGCAGGATTTGTACCTTGTGTAAATGAATTTATACTGTAATATAAATCAAAACACATATTTCGTTATTAGAATGAATTTCAAATTATATAAATGCAATGAGTGTTGTTCTGAAGCTATTTTCTTTTGGCATTTTTAAAGTAATTACTATTTTAATTGTTAAAGGTTAAAGTAGTTTATTGACCTTTCAATTTGCACTTCAGAAATCATTCTCAAAATACAAACATTAATAAATTTTGCAATGAATATATAACAAAAAAAACTTTTGACTAAAGAGGGCCAATTGGACAACAAGCCAGAGGAAGACAGAGATTTATGTAAAAAAAAGAAAACTTTTAGAACAATTTAAAAACTATTGGAGTTAGAGCATGGAGAAGAGTTGCCAGAGACAGGGGTGAATGGATGATTATTTTGAAAAAGGCTTTGGCCCATAACAAGGTGTGATGCTATTGAAGCTACACCAGCTGTAATTTTTATGATTGATTTGAGACAAATAATTTTCCTTCTTAATATGCATAGAAACCTTACTAGTATGAGTTTAAATAAAATTATCAAATGACTTGGAAAATATGGCTTTGTGAATCTTAAAGATTGGTAAAAATCAAGGATTCTTCAATAATACTAATCCCTGATTCTTGAGATATTATCATTTGCTTACCTTATTTAATTGTCATTAATTATAGTTTCAACTCTGATAACTTCATAGTACTATAGGCTGTTCCTAGACTTTTATATTTCTTTTATAGATACATTTTTCTGATCCAGGTTCATTTTGGTCCATTACAAATAAATCCATTCTGATAGGGTATTCAAAACTAAAAGCAAACACAGTAAAATAATCAGAATGTATGTCTACAAGCCACAAAAGGGAGTACAGAAAATATAAATTGGAACTCACAAATTTCTCCTAATAAAAGAAGTTTTAACTATAATTAGTAGAAAACTTACTAAAAGAAACATCAAGCTTGAAATAAATGCTGTTCCAAGAAAGACGGTCACATAGAAATTTATATTATTTCTTCTTCAAGAATTCTAATCTGATTCTCAAATTGGTATAATATAAATTGCTTACCTTCTTTAATTCTCGTCCATTCATTTATAACTCTGTTGCTCACTAATACAATTATTTTATGTATGCATTTTTGTGGTTCCTTTTCTTCCATTACAAATAGGTAAATCCATTCTCAGAGGACCTTCAAAACTAAAAACAAATGCATTACATTAATTGCAAACTCTCAAAAGTGTTTAAAATGAACTGATGTGTGAACATTTGTGTTGTTTCTACCTTTTAATAAGTCGAGCTCCTTTGCACTACCATCAATTTAAGTAAATTTTATATTTAATATTTTTTATTATAGACATAACATCTGTACGCCATTTTTGATTTTCAACGATCACAGCGCTTTTGACCATATAAATAATATATATAATAGTAGATAGTGGCTTTTGACAGAATCGTTAAAACATTGAACTAACATCTTTAAAAATCAATACCTCTAAAAAATTAACATACCTCCGCCTGAGGATGATTGCTTTCGGCTAAGCTCGGAAATTATCCGAATCTTACGTTTACAGCTAACTTCACTACAATCTTTACCTTGTTGGCACACAGCCGGAGTTGTGTCTACTCAACCTCAAAGCCGGCAGAATTGTACCTTGTCCAATAGAATGTAATTTACACCATAACAGAAATCAAAATTCACACACTTCGTTATTGGAAGTAGTTACTAACTAGATAAAAACAATAAATAACTGATTATTTAATATAAAACAAATCAATATAAGATCAAAACAACAAAAATTGGACGATTTTCACATTTGGTCCCATTGAAGTTAGCCTCAAATTAGCTGTCAATTAAATTTCATTGAACAAAAGATTGCTTTGGCAGTGTTGCCATGTTGTTATAATGTATATGTTATATGCTTCAACTACAAAGAGATAAAGCTTTTAAAAGGTAGATTTTTATCATATTATTTTATGGATTCTACAATTTTATACCTTATATAAAATATTAATGAAGTAATATTTGTTTCGTTTGCTATTATTTGTAATAATAGAAAATTTTTTCTGCAGTTGGCCTTTGATAGGTTAGCGGATAGATTTGGCAATAGAGTCAGAACCCTCAAACCACCAACCAAAGAATATAGACGCTTAGCGTCTATATTCAAATAAAAAATATTATAAATAAAATTAATATTATAAATAAAAAAAGAAAAATTTCAAAAATAATGAATAAGTCACATGTCAGTTCGTAGTGTCAGTTTCATAGCTAACTTCAGTTTGAATTATGGCTGTGTCTACTCAACCTAATTATCGTAAAATTTACTTTACGCTGGAAATTTTTTTAAGGAAAAGGATTAATAATTTTTACTTAAAAATCAAATTAACATATATCATCGGTGAAAATATAGATGTATTTAAAAAATACCCTAATTTAAAAACTTAAAAGCTGTAATTATATAAAACATTATATTCAGGCCGATAAAATATAGAAAACAATGAAAAATTAAAATTTTTAATGTACAAAACGACGACAAATTGAACTAGAACATTAAAGAATGGTATTTACTATGTAAATCTGTTACAAAAACGTCAAAAGAGATTACTTAGTAAAAGAAAAACAAAACTAAAATTAATATTATAGGAACTATTATCAAGCTTACCCATTCATCAGCTGAAACCTCGTCCAATTTAGGCAGTGTCAAGGTTTCGTCTCTCTTTATGGACTCATCTTCAGATAAATAAACAATATATACCGTGTTTTAATAGATAACTTTATTGACATATTTCAAGGATTATATCGACAATAAATTTACTGCAGACCAAACATTTTATAGTCTTAATAATTTAATATACTAAATAATATCACAAAGTTCTACGATTCTATAACACTTAATGAATTATCGTTAATAACAATTATACAAAGTCCTATGTACAATATATTCATGTAAATACAGATTTTATAAGGGTATTGAAGTCGTAATAAAGAAGTAAAGTTGTTTTTTTTATAAATCGGTAAAAAATGAGTAGAATATACCAAATAGGGAAAAGTATAAGGGCAAATAATACAAATACATTTGAATATTTACATCTTTTTCCACATCAGTGTAAAGTCCAGTATTTAAATAGAATCTTCCTGAACAGGTTCACATATTATTCACTCTACACTGATGTGAAATGACGTATAGGGGCAAGGGGGGAATGGTGGTCACTGGGGTAATAGTGGCCATGAAATATTTACATTGACGGCCTAATATTATTTCGCGTTTAATACCTGTTGCACCATCTAACAGTGTTTCGTTCAAACTGTACCTAAAACAATGACGATGTTTTGCCGGCAAAGAAGAATTTTTGAAAATGTCATATTTTGTTCGAGTTGATGTATTAGTGCAAGATTTTTAAAAGTATGTAGAAGTATGTAATCAAGTGTATTTAGCTGCATAATTGGTACCCATTTGTTAAAATTTTAACGTAGTTTAAGACTATATAAAAAGTTCTTGCTCTAATTTAAGTGATTAATGATGAGTCGAAAGGAAATTCAGAAGTTCACAGAAGATATATCATCTGAAGATGAGGATGATGACGATGATCGTGATAGAGACGTTAACGAAGATATTTGCACAATTTGTGGCGAATTCGGTAAAAACAGAGAACTCTGGATCCAATGCTGCATTTGCGGCCAATGGGCACACAAAGACTGTACCAGTTTCGAAGGCAAAATTTGCATTTCAGATTTCTGCATTTAATTATTTTTTAAATTGGATTAATAGTGGCAGTGGCACTTTTACCCCTCGGCAGCGGGTAAATATGGCCACCAGCAGAAGTCTGAAAAAAATTTTTTTTTGTTCTCTTTAACATTTTTTAGTAAATAGAGTTTAAAGTACTAAGTTTTGAAGTTTATTTGCGTAACAGTATAATTTTTTAAGCTGTGTATCATTAAAAATAAACCAAAATGGTTAGGCGGACCCTTATCCCCCTTTCCTCTAGATATTTTTAGATTTGACAGCATTTATTCAGTGTTTGAATTATTCTAAAAACAAACTGAAATCAATAAAATTGTTGAAACCAGCAACAAAAACTTTATTTTTGTTTAACTGTTCTGCAAAAATTTTTATTGTTAAAAAATTTATGTGCAGAACATTTTTTTTAATAAATTTTTGTAAAAAGATGGCATTTAATGTAACAATGTTTCTTATTACCTCCAAGTTGCGTATAAATTTTATAAAAATGTTAAGTTTTAAGACTGTTATTCAGATATTTGGGAAAGGTTATGTACAGTTGGGTATATTAACCACTTTTTACTTTAATACTTTCAGTATATAAATCAATTGCTGTTATTAACATTGTTAGGAGAGAGATTCTTGGCAATCAGATACTTCTTTATTTCGTCTTCGAAGTTTCTGAAGTCCATAGAACTTGCCAAATGTTGGTTTGAGTTTGGAGAGAGTGCTAGAGTTGAAGGTTTGTTGAAAATTGACGTAGAGCTGGCAAATGTTGACGCCATTTGCTTTTCTCTTTCCTAAAACAATACGACATATTTTTTCTGTTAGAACAATATAATGTTAACAAAAATAATAACGGACAAAATAAAAACGAAAATCGATAATGAAAAGGAGATATGATCGATTGAAGGGAGTTTGCTTATTTCCCTGAATATGATAACTGATTTTACCAATGAAAAAATTGTTGATTTCTGAAAAATACTAAATGTTTACTTTAAATTCAAGATACTTAGAGAGAATATATGGCCTTAGACGCACTAAAAAAAATGTAAAGCTTAATGAAGAAAATAAAATAATGTGATTGGTTGATTTCAGAAAAAATGCTACTGAACTTAGAAGTCTACACTAAAACAAATCTTACCTTCTCCATACACAAATTATCACACGTTTCTTTCATCTTTTTCAATTGCTTCTGCAGACTTCTGTACTCTTCCAAGAATCGCTCCAACTGCGCCGCATGGTAATCGTAGGAGTTGGCGTTGGGTGTCATGCTCATGGTAGGGGAAATTATCTCCCTCGGTTTATTGTACCAAACGTGGCTTTCTAGATTCGAAACGTCTAGAAGTGGGGTGGCGCTTATGTCGGTTGTAGCCTGCAAAATAAGGATAAAAAATGAAAATATATACGGTATACGCGGGAAATCGTGTTGCCGGCAGTTTTTTAGCGTCATCGCGCGTGTTTAAGCTGTTAGGGCGATTTTCAATTTCGATGGCTTCAAGAATATTCGAGTGAATTTCGATTTTAAGGAGTGAAAAGAAGCGATGGTGTTTGCTTTTTCGAAATCTATTTTGTGACCTGTCGGAATATGATGTTGGGCTAGGGCTGAAGTAGTATCGGGATGTTTTACAGCTATTGAATGTTTGTAAATACGGTTGTGGTTTCGTCGGTTTGTCTGTCTTATGTATTTCGTAAGCAACTGGAACAAGGTATCTCGTAGACACCATGTTCTTCCTTGGAGACTTGGTCTTTTACGGATCTGACGAGATTGGACAACTCGAAGTGAGTAGTGAAGATGATTTTGATGCTTAGAAAGATACAAATTCTGCTGATCTTGCCAGTGACACGTCTGATAAAAGGTAGAAAGTAGAGTATTAGTAGTAGACAGTAGTAGAGTAAGTAGGTAGAGTGTTTTCCTTATTGAATTGATTTCGGATGATCTGTGATTGTCGTCGCTAAGTCATGTGGAACGAGAAAGAAGAGTGTTGATAACTAAATTGAGTAGGACGGGGTGATGATGTGACCGGGCATTTAGATAACGGTTTGTATGGGTGGGTTTCTGGTACACAAAATAGGATAAAACTGTGAGTAGGGTGTTTCTAAATAATAACATCAAGGAATGACAAAGATACCTCAGACTCAACCTCTATCGTGAATTGAATACTGGGATGTATTCCATTCAGGTGGGAGAGGAAGAAATCTAATGTGTCTTTACCACGGGGCTAAATGACAAAGGTGTCATCAACGTATCGTGGCCAGCAGGTGGGTTTGAGATTTGACGAGCACTGTTGTTTCGAAAACATCAGACAAAACTGATCATCGATACGGAGTAGCTTTTATCATAAGCAACACTATTAAAAAATCAGTGTTAGGTGTGATTCAAATCTCAGAAAGAATAATAATGCTAAAAATTCAAGCACGGAACTGTAATATTATTATGATCCAAGTTTACGCTCCCACTGCTGATAAGACCGAAGATGAGATCGAAAACTTTTATTTAGAATTGCACAATACAATCAAGTTAACAAAATCTAGAGATATTACTTACATTTTAGGAGATTTTAATGCAAAAATTAGAGTAGGTACAGTTGAAAATATTGTTGGACAGTTCGGACTAGGAACTAGAAACGAAAGAGTAGAAAGGCTCATAGAATTCTGCCAAGAAAAGAATATGGTAATTGCCAATACTTGGTCTCAACTTCCTAAAAGAAGACTATATACATGGACGTCTCCTTCACATACAGAAAACCACATTGTCAGAAACCAGATAGACTTTATACTCGTAAACAGCAGATATAAAAACTCTATAACCTCAGCTAAAACTTATCCTGGAGCAGATGTTAACTCAGACCACAATCCGCTAGTGGCTGACGTGAAAATAAAATTAAAAAGAATTGAACTCAGAAAACAACAACCAAAAATTAACGTAAGAATGCTACAAAACGAAGAAATAAAAAACGGAATAAAAAATAATGTGAATGTTAATATGCAAAAAACACTAACTGACAACAAACAAATTATGGATGTAAATAAAAAGTGGTGTAATATAAAAAACACATTATTGAAACCAGCTCAAGAAAGTTTAATAGAACATAAATCAGAGGCTAAAAAACACTGGATGACAGAAGAAATACTATTACTGATGGAAGAAAGAACGAAATATAAAGGAAAAGATCTACAGAAGTATAAAGAAATACAACGAATAATTAAGGAAAAAATCAAAACAGCTAAGGAAATCTATTTGATGAAGCAATGTAAAGAGATAGAAGAACTAGAAACAAAATATGATATGAGAAATATGCACAAAAAAATTAGAGAAGTGACTGGAATGGGTCGAAATAGACAGCAAGGACACATAAAAGACAAAAAAGGAGTACTACTAGTAGATTTACCAGAGAAGTTAAGGCGATGGGAGGAGTACGTTAGAGAACTTTTCCAAGATGAAAGAGGTGAAATGCAGAAAATACAAGAATTAAATCCTTTAGAGATACAGAAGATCACGATAGATGAAATCAAATATGCTATCAAAAACTCTAAAGACAATAAGGCAGCTGGATTAGATGAAATACCAGTAGAATTCTTAAAACTAGTGGAAGAGGACAACTTGGAAGTATTGGCAGATTTATTCAACACGGTTTACGATTCGGGAATAATACCACAGGAGTGGCTAAAGTCAGCATTTATAACCATCCCTAAAAAACAAGCAGCAAAAGAGTGCTCTGATTATCGAACACTGAGCCTCATGAGTCATACTTTAAAAGTTCTGCTAAAAATAATACATAAGAGAATATACGAAAGGCTAGAGGAGGATATTAGCGAGACGCAGTTCGGGTTCCGAAATGGAATGGGTACTCGAGAAGGACTATTTGCCATCAACATATTAATTCAGCGATGTCGGGATGTAAATGTTGATCTACACTTGTGCTTCGTTGACTACGAAAAAGCTTTCGATAAAGTAAGACATGAAAAACTAATATCAATACTTATGAACAAGCGCATTGACAGTAAAATCATAAATATAGTGCAAACATTATATTGGAACCAAAGTGCCATAGTTCAAATCGATGGGCAACACTCAGAAGAAATGAGGATCTGTAGAGGAGTTAGACAGGGATGTGTGTTATCACCACTTTTGTTTAACTTATATTCTGAAGAAATTTTCCAAAACACGCTCAATAATATCGAAGCGGGAGTCACCGTTAACGGAAAATTAATTAATAATTTAAGATATGCAGACGACACTGTCATCATAGAAACGAGTATAGAGGATCTACAACATCTTATCGAAAGCTTGAGTATAAATAGTGCTGAGATGGGAATTACTATAAACGCTAAAAAAACGAAGTACATGCTGATTACAAAAAGGCCACAAAATATACATCACCTATTGACAATAAATGGTAACGTGATAGAACAAGCAGAAAAATATCAGTATTTGGGAACTTTGATCAATGAAACCAATGATCATACTGTAGAAATAAACAGACGAATAGAGATTGCCAGATCAGCATTTATACGAATAAAGCCACTCCTAACGTACAAAAATCTAAATTTGGAGATCAGACTACGTACCATTCGCTGTTATATATTTTCAATATTATTATATGGAGCTGAGACTTGGACATTAAAAAAATGTAATTTAAAAAGAATCGAGGCCTTCGAACTCTGGTTATACCGCAGAGTATTGAAAATATCATTTACTGATAGAATTACAAATAAAGAAGTACTGGAGAGGGTTGGTAAAGAAACAGAACTAATCACCACTATACAAACCAGAAAACTGGAATACCTAGGCCACGTGATGAGGGGACCAAAATATGAAATTTTGAGACTGATAATACAGGGAAAAATTCAAGGAAGATCTGTTGGCCGAAGGCAGAACTCATGGTTAAAGAATCTACGTGATTGGTACCAATGCAGATCGATTGATTTGTTTAGAGCAGCAAGTTCTAAAATAAAAATAGCCATTATGATTGCCAACCTCCGTAGGAAGACGGCACTCTAAGAAGAAGAAGTTGTTTCGAAATGTTCCATATAGATATCAATTAACACAGAAGGATCCCATTGGGGCACCGTTAATTTAACGATAGACATGATTTGGGGTGATGATTATTACAAACACATTTTTAAGTTACCAAACAGACGACTGTATACATGACGATCACTCGCAGATACATCGGAGAAAGTAGTCAGGAACCAGATAGACTACATTATGATCAATGAAAGATAGCGTAATGCTGTTAAAGCCGTGAAAGCATATCCTGGATCAGACGTGGCCTCAGGTCACAATCCACTTATCGCTAAGATTACACTCACCCTTAAGAATATTAAAAGACATTAAAGAATCCATACAATAGCCACAAGAAAACTTTAAGAATCTAACGTAAAAGAATGTATCCAACATGAACTGCATGATAACTTAAACACAAACACCAATGATATTGACGAGTACTGGGATCGACTAAAACATTGTCTACTGGAACCCTGTAAAGACGTAAAATAACGTAAAATAACACCAACTTACACATTAGCTGAGATACAATAAAATATAATAATGATATAAAACATAAAGCACGTGTTTTGAACAATATACTAATAAGGTTTTGAGGTTATGTTGTTTTTTAAACAAAGCAGTTGACAGAATAGACACAGCAGGCGTGCCAACTTATGAAAACTGAATTTCGATCTCTGTTCACATTAATTCGCACAATACTGTATATTATTCACATTTATTAAATTTCAAGATCTACAAATTCATTTTAATGACCACCACGATTACCCATTTCACACGCCTGTCAAAGAAAATACAGAAAATAGAAAGTGGTTTCATAGACAATTGACAAAAAAGGATTGAAGAAAACCATCTTTCATCCAGATATAAAAATATTATTACCTTCTCTTTTCAGTCTTCGAATTTATGTCTTCTTTCTCTATAAGCACACATTTTCTATCGTGCGCTAAAAATAATAATTTCGCGCAGCTTCGTTAAAAAGTTGGTTCCACCGAACAAAAACTAAACAATATTCACACTACAACAATATTGAAAATGTTAACACAAATGTTTCGCAATGAACATGACAGTTTGAATGTTTTAAATAAAATATTCATTCGGTTACAAAACGCAGTGAGGCGTGAATTTATTTTACGGTATTGGTCAAAAATGCATTGTTTTAACGAGTTTAGTGATGTGTATTACACTGCAGGAATTTAATAAACTATTTCTAGTTAGTTATGTAATATTTTGTATTTTAGATATATGAGAATGTCACGGAAAGTTGTAGGATTGTTCAGAACACATGAAAGACATGAAGATATGTGAAATTTCTTAGAAAGGAACAAGTACTACGATATAAACAGATTTTCTAAGAAAAAAACTGCAAAGAAAATTAAAGTAGCTCTCCCGAGACGAATGAAATAGAAATAAAACAAATATTATGTAGGATCTAACAGTATTAAATATATGGAGTGCTACATAAAATAAGTTTTAAGAATATTTTAATAATAAATTAAAAGATACTAAAATCACATTACAATATTTATAATAGACCACTTACCTCTTTAGTAGATCGTCCCTCTCTTGTTAAATTCATATAACTATTTGACATTTTGTTGACCCTGTTTCTGTTCAAACTTGTAGTCATCGAATACTTTGGTAAGTCGGCCATACATACATCTTGAGTGCAGGGAATGCTCTCCCCTCCGCTGCTACCTATAAAAAAGAAGATGAACACTTTTATTTTTATTTCATTATTTAATACGTTTTAAATATATTATGGACACGCTTTTATATCTTTCAATGCGAAACTCGCAATGATGCAATAGGGACATCATGTAACCAGGGAATTCCCAAATTTCACTTTGAAGAGGGATTCCAGGTTTATCTATAATGACTTTTCCAAAGCATTTGATTAGGTCAACCTTGAGCAATGGATGCAATGGAGCAACCTTGGATGAAAAGTGCTCAAGACAGAGCACAATGGACAAAAATGAGGGAGGCCTATGTCCAGCAGTGGACGCAAAGGGCTGGGTGTGATGATGATGATGAACCTTGAGTAAAATAATAAGTTTGATGTTTTTAAAAATAGTTCCATCAAAAAATTTATTAATCCCTAGATGAGAGAATTTTTGTAACATCTCATACTATACATTTTAACTGCCAAACCCGTCTAACTTCAGAAATCGTTTTTAATAATTCATAAAACTTTTGCGGTGATACATACATACAGAAGTAGTTCCAGGGGTTTACCATCAGAAATTAAGTTAGCCATCAATATTTACACTGGTTCTGATGGAGTTTCTAATGCTTTTGCACTATACTTTAAGTCAGTCTATAGCATCTCATCTGATATGATGATATTTAAGTTTCATGGTATTCTAGAGTTTAATGAGATAACTGACGAAGCCATTAGAGCTGGTGTAAAGGGAGGGGATTAAAACCCAAGGGATTAAAACAAACAAACCTTGGCATTAAAACCCAAGAAATGCACAGGTAAAGATAATTTACTTGCTTATATCTATAAGGGGAGTATTGACCAACTTGTTGAACAATGGTTCAACAACTTAAACAATTAAATTTAATATAAAATCCACAAGGAAAACAATTCCTGTAGCTGGCTGTATACCACGTATCACAAAAAAAGAGGTTAGTCTTCGTAAATGGGTATATTTATTTAAAAACCCTTAAAAGGGCTACATCAAAAAAACAAACGTTTTCGGACTAAACAGTCCATCATCAAATTTAATATAACCTGTAATGACAGGTTTAATCTAGCTTTAAAAAGTAATACCCTTCCAAAGATACCATTACAGTTCCCATTTTTAAATCTGGCAATATTAATGATGTAAAAAATTATAGACCAATTAGTATTTTAAATTCTTTGGCAAAATATTTGAATCTATTTTATATAACAACTTATATAAGAACGCAGAGTAATGAACCAAGGATCCGAACTTCTACCTACCATAACGATAGAAGAAGTGAAACGAACTCTGAAGGAAATCAAAAATACCAAGGCTCCGGGAGATGACCAAATAGTAATAGAAGCTGTTAAAGTAGGAGGCAAGAAACTGCTGGAAGTAGTAACTGAACTATTCAACCTATGTCTAAACCAAGGTATTGTCCCTACAAAATCAAACAATGCAATTACTATCCTAATATACAAAAAGGAGATATATCAGACCTAGAGAATTATAGACCGATAAGTCTGTTGTCACATCTCTACAAATGGTTTACCAAGATCATCACAAAACGTTTAGAACGAAAATTAGATTTCTAGCAGTCTAAGGAGCAAGCTGGGTTTAGGAAAGGTTATGGAACAAATGACCACCTACAAGAACTTAAAATACTAATTGAAAAATGTGTTGAATATAATAAACCACTCACATTGATTTTCATAGATTTCAAGAAAGCTTTTGATACCGTGGAATTACCGGCAGTATTACAAGCATTAGAACAAAGCCGAGTAGACTATAGATATACAAATTTGATAAAACATATATACAATAACGCAACAGCATCTGTTAGACTCCATGACTTTACCGATAAATATAGAATTGAGCGAGGAATTAGACAGGGCGACACCATGTCCCCCCAACTATTCACTGCAGCTCTGGAATATGCCTTTAAAAAACTAGATTGGGCTAAAAGGGGAATAAATATTGATGGTGAATACTCAAGCCACTTGCGCTTTGCAGATGATATTGTCATTATAGCCGAGAGTTTAAATGAAGCTCACAATATGATGGAAGAACTAAAACAGGCAATAGAAGAAATAGGCCTGAACATAAACTTTGAAAAAAAACAAAATACATGACCAATTTAGTTTCAAGTGATGTTATGAGGGTAGATGGGAACAAAGCACATCAGGTCTTTAGCTAGATCTATTTAGGGCATGAAATTAGAATAGAAAAAGACAATCAAACTTGTGAGATCCAGCGTCGCATAGGTTTGGGATGGGCAGCATTTGGCAAGATGCGAGATATTCTAAAAGGAACGCTACCGATTTGCTTAAAGAAAAAGGTTTACAACCAATGCATACTGCCAGTAATAACATATGGTTCCGAAACAATAACTTTAACAAAATTCTGCAAATAAATTGAGAGTAACCCAAAGAAAAATGGAAAGAGCAATGTTGGGAATAACTAGAAGAGATATGGTACCAAATAGGATAGTGAGAGAGAGGACTAAAGTGACGGATGTCATAGAAAAAATTGCACAAGCCAAATGGAGATGGGCTGCACATATAGCACGTTTAAATGATAATAGGTGGACCAAAAGACTCATAGAATGGAGACCTGGAGAAGACAAAAGACACCGAGGCAGACCACCAAAAAGATGGATGGACGACTTGAGAAAAACAGTCAGAAATTGGATACAGAAGGCGCAAGATAGAGAACAGTGGAAGAACATGGAGGAGACTTATATCCAACAGTGGATGCAAGAGGTTGAGGAATGATGATGATGATGATGATGATGATGATGACAATATTTTATCAAATCTTTTAATCAATATCAACTTGGATTTCTACCGGATAGATCAACATTTACAAATTTATGTATTTTCACACAATCTGCTGCAGATGCCATAAATACTGAGAGGCAAATGGATGTAATCTTCACTGATTGTGCAAAAGCATTTGATAGGGTTGATCATGGTTTATTACTAGAAAAACTGGGCATCTATGGCCTCTCAATTATTGCATTAACATTTTTGAATTCGCACCTAGCAGATAGAAGTCAGCAAGTTAGAGTTGGTAATTTTTTCTCAGAGGAATATTCCGTAACTTTGAGTTCCCCAGGGCAGCAACCTGGAACCACTCTTATTTGCTTGCTTTATAAATGATCTTTCTAGTTGTCTCAAATTTTCCACTTGTTTAATGTTTGCAGATGATTTTAAGATGTTTAGAACTGTAGAAGATCAATGTGATTGCCAACTATTACAACTAGATCTAAATGTTGAAAAGTGTTCAGTGATGACCTTCACACGTAACAGGAACTTTTAAAATGGTTTATTATATTAATAATAGAGAATTGCCCAGAAAATCTGTGTGTAAAGATCTTGGTGTGAATTTTTAGCAAAGCTTGCACTTCAATGATCACTATCACATTGCTACTAATAAGGTTTTTAGGATGTTAGGATTTATAATTAAAAACACCAAACATTTTAAGATGATATATAGTGTAATTAAACTATATAATTCCTTGGTAAGACCACATCTTGAGTATGCTTCTGTAGTTTGGGCACCCCATGCAGAAGTAAATATAGATTTAATTTAAAAGGTACAAAAAAGGTTTTTAAGATATTTATATGTTAAAAAATATAATTCTTATTCATATTTAATGTCTTAGCGGAGTATGCTTGAAACTTTCAAATTTGTAACACAGAACATTTGGAACAGAGACGGAAAATGCAAGCAATGTTACTTGTAACTTATATTGTGAATATAAAGCTCTTGGTACCTAAGATTAACTTAAGGTTAAGTCATAGAGGGCTGTTTTTTTCTATTTGTGAGATAGACTGCTCGCCCATTAACAACATGATGAGGCAGGGCAATATAATACTAAAAAACAAAAAATAGATATCTTCAAGGCCAACATCAAAGAAGCAATTAAATCTAGCTTTCAATCCACTTCGATCACTTTATCTTAGCATGTAGGTATATCTAATGTCAAAATCCCTACTTGTAATTACATTTTATTCTGCAAAATGTGTTTGTTGTGGAACAAATAAATAAATAAAGATTTAAGATCGACTTAAAATAGTACTCACCATATCGACTTTCATGCAACAGTGGAGTCTGGCTATCATTACTTCTGTACCGCGCAGAATGAAGCTCCTTCTTCCTCGGTAACGTACAAAATATCTCGTTTATATCCGAAGTACTGCCACTCGTACCCTTTGCTTTGAGTACGTTGCTCTGATTGATCTCAAACGATTTACTTTTCGGCGAGATCTCTATCAGATCAGGAAAATCTTTTTCTCTATCTTCCACTAGCCTGGAGAGCTCTTTGTTTAAGTACACGGAAGACGTGGCTGGAGGTAAGTACCGTTTGGTGGTTGTCGAACAGTAAATAGAAGACGAAACGTTCGGTGATGATACAGGAGTGGAGTACTGGCTGTAGGTGCCGCAGGTTGTACTGCAAGTTGTGTTGATGTTGCTGGAATTATGAAAAAAGAGTATTCGTAATTAAAAAATAAAACTGCACAGTGTAAAAAAGTCACTGTAATTTTTTTATTCTTCACACCTCCACTTTAATATTAAAATGACTTTCTTTTTCATTTCAGGGTTTATCATTTGGGTTTCTTCATTTCTTTATTTCTACCTTGGGACTGAACAACTGTTTTAGAAAATAAACCTCAAATTATCCCATTCATTGTTCCCTTAAAATTTTTTATTTTGTTTTTAGTACCGTAAAAGGGGTTACATTGAACATTTTCTTCATATTTTGTTAAATAAGTTTTGTATATGTTGCTCAATCGAATAAAAAAAATACCACTTATGGGTCACTATAGAAGCATGACTTTACATACGTTAGATTATTTCTTGGGCGTAGCTATGTAAAAATAGCTATAAAAACGTTGCTGTTCAATTTTATCCTGGGTTCGGGGTAACATTGAACAGTAGTATAAATCGGTGTCTACGAGCCCACAGGTTAGTTATTCGTTCAATTTAACCCCACCAGTGAAACAAGCGGAAAAAACTAGTGGGGAAAGTTTTGTTTGTTTTTTTTCTCAATGTTATATTTATTGACAAAATATTTTTTTACATTCTTTTTTATTAAACTTTAAATTCTTTTACACAGTCTTATAAAATCATATTTCAAACTAAAGAAATTGGTAATTTTCAAGTCAAATGACAAAACATAAGGGAAACGTATAAACGACAGTCTTTAGAAGGATTTTAGCACAGAGTATACCCATCAAATTGGATCGAAAAAACCACTTTTCCGCGGCGGTCTTCAGCTGGAGCTGGCAGAAGTCTCTCAAAATCTGAAGAACTTACGACTGAAATGTCGTCTATCTGAAAATAAATCAACAATCGATTTTGGTATAATGCAAAATGCACTGAAAAATTTACCTCTGGCCAATAGAAGGCAGAATTCTTCGCAATTCTCAGGAACTTGACCACATAATCTCCATCAGGCAGTTTTTCTTTTATAAGACCAACGAAAAATTTCAAGATCTTTTTGGTTGCAAATCTCACGAGCACATAATCGTCGACGACTGCAGCCCCTGTTTGCCTTTCGATCTCCTCGTTCTTTTCTTGGTGCATTTCATCACAAAATGTCTCGAAATCACAATCAGATTCGTCCTGAAGCTCTAGTTCGTAGTCGGAACTGTCACTATCCAATTCCTTAGCAGACTTTTTCTTATTCTTCGTGGGTGGTGCAGAACATCCAGAACTTTCTCCTATTTCAAAATCTTCCAATCCAATGCTTTTACCCGGTGCTGATGTTAATTTTCTTTTTTCTTTGAGTTCTAGCTCTCTCTTTGTTCCTAATACCCTGTAGAAATTGTAAAACTGTGTCGTTTAAACTGTTTCCAAAACTTTCATTTGATTCAGTATCATCAGTACCAGGCAATTTCTTTAGTATTTGATTTCTGTCTAAAGGTATATACCCGTTGCCCGAAAGCCACTTTGAAGGTTTTGTTCACCAGTTTCTGCGAATTTTAACATCAGCTTTTTTAAAAGTTTTGGAAACATCTCCTTTGGAAGACCAGTTGATCCCGTTGCTAACTTATAATCGCTGAGTATTGCACGCCATTGTTTCTTCAGTGGTGCGAACACCGCGACATCCAGGGGTTGAGCGATATGCGTAGTATTCGGCGGTAAACATATGAATCGAATATTATTTTCAACCGACAGTCTGATAATTTGCTCAGAAAAATGGCTCGCCAAGTTATCCCCGATTAATACTTTGACTCCTTCTTCATGTCTCGTGGAATAAAGGAAAACAGAAGTAAACCAATTTAAAAATGTTGCAGAATCGAACCATCCATGAGCTGTTCGGTTGTATCTGGTTTTATCAGGTCCTCCGTCCGTCCAAGTTGTCCAAAGGTTTTCTGCTTTGTAGACTACATACAGAGGCAGCAGAACTCCTGAAGCGCTTCCACAAAACATCAAAAAAATGTTTGATTTTGATTGAGATAATAAACGTTCTGGGTATTTCACCCCTCTTTTAAAAAGCATCTTGCAGACCCAGGATCATCCGATAAATTTGTCTCATCGAAATTGTATATACAATCGGGGGAAACTCCGTCTAGACATTGCTCAAGGTTATCAAAATAAGCAATGAAAACTTCTCTAGTGGAAGATGCTCTATTTGGGTTTATATTTTGAGATTTTCTTACACTTATTTCTCTGTTTTTTTCTGAAAACCTTTAATCCAGTCGATACCAGGCAAATTATTTTTAAACTGCTTAACTCTCTTACCCATTGTATCCGAATGGCTTTTCATAACATGTCGTAAATCGTCGTGAGTCAAAGGAAAGCCCATTCAGCGGTTTTCAAAAGCATCTTGACCAGTGCCTTTTCTTCGTCGTTGTTTAAAACTGTGGGCCTTCCGACGTCCTTCATTTTTTTGTTGTTCAGTTTGTGACTTAATGTTCCTTTTGGGATTTTGTATTTCTTCGACGCCTTGGAAAGTGATAACTGTTTTGTTTTAATTTCGCGGATTGCTTGATCCAAAGTATCAGAGGTGTAATTTTTGTATGATCGACTACCCAACTTTCTAACGTAATCACGCATTTTGGACTGAGATTATCGCACTACACTACCTATTGCACCACAACTGAATTTCCTAACCACACAATGTTCCTACCGCCAAGCCAACCAATGTTATACTGAGCTCTGAGCTGAGTGAATTTCATTCAAATGATTCAAAACGAGGTAGCGTAACGCCAGACAATAATATTTAGATGGAACTCGATTGACGCCGCCCAAGCACGTTCAATCCTGCCGTTCAATGTTACCCCACGTTCCCGAAATAATTGACATATTTTTTGTATAAATTAATTAAAAATATTCAAAACCCTAATCATTTACGGTATTATGTAGAATAAGGTTCAAATAGGTACTAGTATCGTGTAAAATTAGTCATGAGAAGATATCTTTTGCATTAGATTGTTTTTTTACTACCTTTTATTTCATAAACCATTTTTCTATTTCATTTTTGTTAATTTTCAGAACCTGCCAGAAATTTTATCAGGAAGTCCAAGAAAAACATATTTGCAACTCTCAAAATAATATATCGGCCCCAAAAAAAGTTTAGGCCAACTTGTAGAAAAATATAATCTTCATTGCAAAACTGTTCAATGTAACCCTCGGGTTCAATGTAACCCGTTTTACGGTACCTCAAGTACCAAATTTAAATATTGTTCTGTTTATATTTATAAACGATTTGTCGTCAAGAGAGCATGTTAGTCAGATCTTTCTTACCACATCTTTTTCCGATTCCGATTCTTCTTATTTTAATTAAGAAAGATTAAAATGTTTTTAACTAGAAGCAATCTAAATTTTTTATTTTATAAATCTAATAACTAGTCTATTGTCCTTAAACAGGGATTTACGGGAAGCCAACAATCGCAAATGAGGATATTGATCCCTTGTCGGCCTCTTTACGGTCAAAAGACATTGATAGATTGCAACCCCACAAATGTGTTAAAAGGATTTTGAGATTAGTCAATATATACATTACACACATTATATATATATATATATATATATATATATATATATATATATATATAAGAAAAAAGAAGTACTTGTGACTCGTTTGGAAAAAATATAACACTGTTTTTTGATGGGTTGGAGTCAATAAAAGTAATTCTAGTCCACTCCTTCAGAATTCTGACTGTGGATTGCCCATAATCATTTCGGATGTCATCGAAAAAACCCATATTTTTCTACAAGAGTAAGAAAAAAGAAGTACTTGTGACTCGTTTGGAAAAAATATAACACTGTTTTTGATGGGTTGGAGTCAATAAACTTTTATTGACTCCAACCCATCAAAAACAGTGTTATATATATATAATATATATATATATATATATATATATATATATCTATATATATATATATATATATATATATATATATATATATATATATATATATATATATATATATATATATATTGTTGCAAGTCATACATAAAAAAAAACAATCTTAGGGTGCCCTTTTGTAATAATAATAAATTAGCTTAGTTTATACTTATATTTTCTCGTGGTTTACAGTATTTCTTAATTGTTCAAGATACGTCGATAGCAATTAAAGTAAACTGTATACCCAAGCTTAATCAAGCCATTCAGAGCGGTGCTGGAAATAATTGTATTCCACTATGTACCAACAATTTACCCATATAAATTACAATCATTCTTGTACTCATTGCGTCGAGTAAGGACGATAAATATACGAAAAAGGTTGCGTTTCGATTTAATTTGAGTCTCTTACTACTACCTGACACGTGTTTCTGGGTCTATCCGTCATCACAGAGAGTTTGTAAGAAGACTCAAACTAAATCAAAACGCCCCGACTACTCTGGCAATTACAGGAAAATAACTACCAGAGTATGCAACTAGAAACTTCTAGTGAGGAAAGATGAAGATACGCCGATAATCTTCTATCTTCTAAAAATTCTAGAATTTTATTACATGACTTATAACTACTATTTATTTCCAATATGATGTTTCTTTAAATTGTGATGCAATTTTGCTGTATAAGTTTTTGGCTTCTATTTCAAAATTGGAAAAAGTGGATTTATCTGTTTTTGCATGTATGCTCCTCCATTGCACGAGTTCTTTCCTTTCTTATATCAATGATGTCACTAAGAAAATTGATAACGTACATAAATTTACCTACCTGTACTCTTGTATAGCTTTCCTCGTAGTACCAACGTCGTCGTGGTCTTCCAAAAGCTTGGAGGAATTCCATCTCTGGTTGTTCTGTTGCTCGTCTTTAAACAACAGTTTCGGAAACCTTTTATTTACACTACAACCATCCAAAGTGGTGTCCTCCTCTTCTTCCGCTTCTTGGTCCGTGTCCGCACCAGAAACAACGCGGTACTCTCCGTTTCTCCGATCAGAAACCACGGCCAATTCCTGGTTAACGTTCACATTAACATTGCCGTTGATTTGCACCACTTTAAAGTTCATTTCGATTTTCTCGTAGTTGTCCTCGCGTCGATTTTTTCGACGAGTTCGCCATTTGATCACTTGCTTCTTTTTCACCGCGTATATACACAAGGATATTAGACACGAACCGAGAACGAACACTAGTCCCGTCACTATGACAACTATGAGTATCTTATGCGAAAAGCCAGTACCGGCTTGTTTCTTGGACACTAGGAGAGTAACGCTGGCTTCTGCTCTCCCTGCTTTATTCTCTGCAGCACAGATGTAAGTTCCGGCGTCTTGTAGGTCAGCGCTAAAGATGGTTAGCTCGCTCGAGTTGTTGGTGAGATGGACCAAGTAAAGCTTTTTACTGCCTGTAAAATAAAAATAGACTAATTTGCTTTGCACATGCAAATTCACACCATTGAAAAAATGAATAAATGCTTTATTATATTCACCTGTAGAATCCGAACTTACTCTTTCGTTTGATCCTGATTTCTTTTAAAATAAATATAAGAAAAAGATCAAAAGAAAAAATTTACTTAAAGATATTTGCGACAAAGAGTTTTAAATAGTTCTGCGCTTCTGCATTTAAACGATTCTCTAGGTTTTTCAGCTATGTCATTTTTGTTCTTTCGCAAGTTCAATAATTTCGGATGACAACCAATGTTTTGTTTTTTTCTCTAAGTCGTTTAAAAGTTTGTTTTCCGATAGTTACCAAGTAGTTGGCAAAATAATCAAAAAATAAGAGAAACTGTAAATAATTAATTGCGGATGAATGTAGGTATAGAAAAGCAGAAGAGTAATGTTGGTTCAGGACAGAATCATGTGTCTTCCCCCGAGAAGACTTCCCCCAAGACGACTTTATACGTAGAAGTCACCTGCAGATACAGCCAAGAATATCATCAGAAACCAGGCTTTATTCTCATTAACAAAAGATTCAAGAACAGCTTGACTTTGGCGAAGACCTTCCCAGGAGCAGATGTCTCTTTAGACTACAACCCCTTACTGGGCCAGATAGAACTCAAACTAAAGACATTCATCAAAAGCAAACCTAAATAGAACCTGGATTATGACACTCTAAAAGACCCTGCCAAATCTGAGAACCATGATTAGTACAATGATGCTTGTCACTAACTGCCATGACGATTTCTAGGGGTACTTTACGAGTCTTTAATGAAGTGATTCCCCGTTGCCTTCTGCATCCTTATACCGTTGACAATTTCTTGGTTCATTCGCCTTCGAGATAGATCTTTCTATCTCAGGACAAAAGTGTACCCTTACATCTACCAGCCCCTCCGCCCGAAACTGTTGGCCAGTATTTAACTTGATTCTATATCAACCCTAAAATCGAGGGTTGCCACTTACGCCATCCGCACCGTACCAAAGTTTTGCTTCTCCTCCGTGGCTGCCGTTGTGGACTTTATCCGTAACCCTGGAAAAGGGACCCTAAACAGGTACTAGTTTCCCTCACCAGGAAACCCCGGAATCTGCGGAGGCCAGCCATTGATTCTTTTTCCCTGTTAGGACTATCTTCAAGAATTTAAAGAGTTCCTATCCGCTACCCGCATATATGGATAAACAAACTTGTTTAATAAACGACCCTTCACTGATCAATCTGTGGTATTTCTAAAAACGTAGATCACTCTCGGAGGAACCTGTAACCTCTAGAGAGCGCGTCCCCAGGTGGCGGATAGAGGAATGCCCGACCCGGTTTACCGGTGGGTAGGAGAGAAATAAAATACCTCCCGTGGACCAACAGGTAATTCACCGAATGATTGCCGGTATAAGCAATCCCCCACTTATGACCAACGGCTGCGGGCGGATGAGTTAATAAGTGGAAGGGCACTCTTTTGTCCAAGGGTTGGGAAACTAGTCCTAAAGGCGGATGAATCGAAAAATATGTCAACGGCGTAAGGATGCAGAAGGCAACGGGGAACCACTGCATTAAAGACTCTTAGAGTACCCCTAGTAAAGTCATGAATGGCAAATGACAAGTAGAGTAAACAAACTTACTGATTATGGAGCACGGAATCCAAGATCCGGCAGGGGAGGAATAACTGTAGATCACAGGGCCTCCCAGGTCGTAAACCAGAGAAATCCCTGTGGACTTAAGACATTGAAAATAGCAACCTGGAATGTCAGAAGTTTATATGCAAGTGGTAAACTAGCGAACGTACTGCTTGAAATGGAAAACCTCCAAATTGATGTTTTAGGTATAAGTGACGTACAGTGGCCAGGTTCAGGCAAACAAATTACAAATAATGGAACCATGTATTATTCAGGTAACAACGAGGTCAATCATCGTTACGGTGTTGCTATCTTAGTTGCAAAAAAGGTCAATTACTCTGTGGTAAGTTTTACTCCTTATTCTGATAGGATCTTATCAATACAACTACAGTCTAAAAAAGGTATAGTAAATTTTATTCAAGTTTATGCTCCTACGGCAGATAAAGATGACGACGATATCGAACTGTTTTACCATGATTTGGAACAAGTCTTAAAATCAATGAAAAAACATCACACTACAATAGTAATGGGCGACTTCAATGCCAAAGTTGGCCAGGGAAGAGTGGATGGATATGTGGGGGAATATGGTCTAGGAAATAGAAATGAACGTGGTGACCGTTTGATACAATTTTGCCAGACGGAAGAATTTGTAATAGCTAATACACTTTTTAAGCTACCAAAAAGAAGGTTGTATACATGGAAATCTCCCGGTGATACAACGAATAGAATAATCCGAAATCAAATTGACTTTGTCCTTATTAGACAAAGATTTCGTAATTCTATACTGTCTGCCAAAACTTACCCTGGAGCAGACATCGGTTCAGACCATAACCCCATAGTAGTCACATTACGAACCAAATTAAAACTGGTTAAAAAACCCACACAAAGTAGAATTGATATTAAGAGATTAAGGGAACCACAAACAAAGGAACAAACTGTAAAAACTCTTACTGAAAATATACGTAATGCCCAAGAACTGAATAAAAGTAGCTATAACATTGATCAGAAATGGGAAAATATAAAAGCAGCAATAATTAAAACAGCAAATGAAAACTTAAAACCAAAGAATAGAAAACATAAAGATTGGATGACTGAAGAAATACTACTATTAATGAATGAAAGAAAATCATTCAAAACAAAAAATCCAATTAAATATAATGAAACTGATCGATTAATAAAAAAGAGAATAAAAGAAGCTAAGGAGAGAATGTTACATGAGCAGTGCCAAGAACTAGAAGAAATTGAGAAAAAATATGACTTTTTTAACATGCATAAAAGAATTAGAGAATTAACAGGAATGAGAAAAACACTTCAAACTAGGCAACTAAGAGATGAAAGGGGTGCACTTATAACAGATATAAACCAAAAAATGCAGAGATGGACACAATATATAGCACAACTATTTGAAGACAAAGAAAGAACAGAAGCACCAAAAGAATTTAAGGATGATACTGGGCCTGACATTATACGAGAAGAAATTGAATATGCAATGAAACAAGCTAAAGATGGTAAATCTCCCGGGCCTGATGAAGTTCCTATCGAATTACTTAAAATTGTGAATACTGAATCTATTGATCTTCTTTTGGATCTATTCAATACCATATATAGAACAGGTATAATACCTAAAGAATGGCTCCAATCAACATTCATACTGCTTCCCAAAAAAGCCAATGCAAAGGAGTGCAATGAACATCGCACCATAGCCTTAATGAGTCATGTCTTGAAATTGTTTTTAATAGTAATTCACAATAGAATACATAAGAAATTAGATGAAGGCATAAGTAATACACAAATGGGATTTAGGAAAGGTCTGGGAACACGAGATGCACTGTTTGCAGTAAGTGTTCTTTCGCAGAGATGCTTAGATATTAATCAGGAAGTATATGCCTGTTTCATTGATTTTGAGAAGGCATTTGACAGAGTGCAGCATAATCGACTTAAAGAAATTTTATTAAATAAAAACATAGACAGTAGAGACATTAGAATCATCTGTAACCTCTATTGGAATCAAACAGCAAAAGTGAAAGTTGAAAACGAACTGACCAAGGATATCCAGATTCGCCGTGGGGTCCGCCAATGGTGTATTTTATCACCCTTGTTATTCAATTTATACAGTGAAGCCATCTCAGAATTAGCGCTTGCCGAGATCAGTGAGGGCCTTATAATAAACGGTGAGCCACTTAATAACATAAGATATGCTGACGACACCGTCCTTTTGGCAGGAACACTAGAAGAACTGCAACACCTTGCTGAACAACTAAATATATATTGCAACGATTATGGACTAAAAATCAATTTGAAGAAAACCAAGTTCATGGTATTTACAAAAGCACAAAACATCAAAGTTAAGCTAGTACTAGATAATACAGAAATTGAACAAATATCTTCGTACAAATACCTTGGAGCATGGATCACAGAAGATACTGATCAGACAAAAGAAATAAGATGCCGCATTGAAATTGCGCGGTCAACTTTTAATAGAATGAGAAAACTTTTTTGTAATCGCGATATCAATATATCGCTTCGGATAAGAATGCTTCGATGTTATATTTTCTCTACCCTTTTGTATGGAGTTGAAGCTTGGACACTTAAAAAATCCAACATTAAAAACCTAGAAGCATTCGAAATGTGGTGTTACCGACGCATTTTGAAAATATCATGGATGGATCGCAAAACAAACGAACAAGTTCTCGAACAACTAGGAAAACAATGCGAAGTTTTAAATTCCATAAAGATCAGGAAATTGGAATACTTGGGGCACATCATGAGAGGTGAAAAGTACGAACTACTAAGGAATATAATGCAGGGTAAAATCAAAGGTAGAAGAAGCGTAGGAAGACGTAAAATCTCGTGGCTACGCAATCTCCGTGAGTGGTTTGGATGCAGTTCAATTGAACTATTCAGGCGAGTAACCAATAAGATTATAATTGCCAGAATGATTTCCAATCTCCAATAGGAGTGAAACTTGAAGAAGAAGAAGATCACTGTAGGAACAGTAAAATCTGTCAGAGACCACATGCGATAGAAGAAACTGAAACTAAGTTACTAGAGACAATGTAACAACTGCTGTATAACGATTTCAATCTAGCAGTAGAGGATCAGAATATTCTTAGAGCTACTAAAGAGGCAAATTAAACCTAGAACTCTACAGTCAATCCTACACCTGAGGTAATAAGTAGAGAGTTATGGCAACATTTATTACAAGCTTATACATTACCTGCAAAAGACGTTCCTGATATATTAGCAATCACCTTATTCTTCATCAACCACCTTACACTCGGCTCTGGAACACCAGTTATTCTACAAGTCATCGTAATATTCTTTCCTTCAATTCCATACGCCTTACTGTTATAAGCAAAGATTTCTGGAACACAAGCATAATCGTCAAGATCTAACTTATCCCAAGACTTCATGTACAGTCGTTTGGGACTATGACAGACCGGCGGTACTCCAAAAGGAACGTTTTGTTTCAGCATCCACGCTCGTAGAGGTCTAAGAAAGCACGAACAATTCCACGGGTTTGCATCTAGCTCTAGGCCGTGAAGGTTTTGTAAACTTGTAAAAGACTCAGGTAGTACTTCAGTCAGTCTATTATTATCCAGCTTCAGGGACTCCAAAGATTTTTCTAAACCAGAAAAAGCTCGACTTTCTATTAACGTTAACCTACATTCCGAGATTTCCAGTCTTATGAGTTGGGAAAGATGGACAAAAGCGTCGTTAAAAATCTTCTGGATAGGGTTTCCACTTAACTTCAATTCCCTTAGTTCTGTTATTGAGTCAAACGTGTGTGAAGGTACGTTGTTTAACAAATTATTGCTCAAATCTAGCTCTACTAGGTTGATGAGATATTTAAAAGAATATCTTTCTAGCGTTTTTAGGCGACAATTTGCCAGGAATATCTTTTGGAGGTTCACTAGACCAGCTTTTTTGAACTGCTCGTGCTTGACACTCGTGAGGTTATTCCCTGTGAGGTCTAATATTTGAGTGCCGACATCGATTTCGGGAGGCACCGAGGAAAAGTTAGCGTTCAAGCAAATGACAGATTCTTTGCCGCTTTTCCATTTGCATTCGCACAGCCTCGGGCAGCCAGATTCGGATAAGTGTATGGTGTAGCAGTAGAAGAGTAGGGCTAGCTGGACACTCGTGGACATCGTGAATGCAGGTTTAAATTTTCTTGTTTTCATCGTTTTCGTCTTCTTCTGTCTCCATTTTAGGATCACAGAGCGTTGTATGGGTGCCGATTTTCTGGAAAGAAAAATAAATATTAGATATAAGGACAGGTACATATGTAGTAAAATCAAACTAGTTATTTATGCACAAAGGGTGTTATTAAGATAATTACGCCCGAAGAGAAATATAAATAGAAATATGTTTTATTGTCACTCAAAATTGTTCAATTTTATGGACAAACCTTACAAAAAGTCAAAAAATAGCTTCTTTTTCTTCTGGAGCTGTCTCCTTTTGAAGGTTGGCGATACAAATGACAATTGTGGTTTTGGAAATTGCTGCGCGAAAGATTTCTACAAATGAGCGGTCGAACCATCTCCTCAGGTCTTTCAGCCACGAATTCTGGCGTCTTCCTACTGATCTTTTGCCCTGTACTTTTCCTTCCAGTATAACTTAAAGTAATTCATATTTTTCGCCTCTCAACACATGACCCAAGTGTCGCATTTCCTCTCTTTCATTATTATTAGTAATTCTTTTTGTTTACAAATTCGACGAAGTATCTCAACATTAGTAACTCTTTGTACCCATGGAATTCTCAACATTCAACTGTATATATAGGAAAGAAAGGATATACAAGAGTTATCAGTAGATAGGGTAATAGAGTGTGCTGTATGCGAAGCTAATATAGGTAATAACAAACTCATTATAGCATCAGTTTACAGACCATCAGGTAGCGATCTGGCAGTTTTTTTAAACAAATTTGATATTACACTGGGAAGAATTATGATAGAAAACACAATTATAATTATAGGGGGAGATTTCAATATCGATCTTAAGAATAACACATTAGATAAAGTAAAATTTTGTATGTTAATTAACTCGTATAATATTTGTCATGTAATTGAAGACTACACTAGAGTAACTGCCACATCTAAAACTTGTATAGATAACATACTAACAAATATGCAATCATATGTGTCAGTAGAAGTCTTGCACGCTGGAATCTCTGATCGTTCTGCCCAAAAATTGACTTTTCAGGTAGAGGAAGCAGAAACGAATACTCTTGAAATGAAAAGACATTTTAGTACAAATAATATTGAAACCTTTATAAGTAAATTACATCATCATGACTGGCTTAATTTAAGTTACAAATATGTAAACAATCAATGGAATACTTTCTTAAATCAGTTTCTGTATATATTCAATCAGTACTTTCCTTTTAGAAAGTTAGATTCTAGACAACGTAAAAAAGGCTTTAATAAAAGAGATGATCCAGAGATAATAGAATGTAAGACTCGTTTAGACATCTTGTTTACAATGGGCAGAGTTAACCATAAATTCTATGATTCCTATAGACAGGTAAAAAAAGAATATAATAAGAAACTAATAACAAAACGATCAAAGCTATATGAAAATAGGATGTCTGAAGCTGCCAACAAAAATAATGCATGTGGCAAATTGTTAGTGAAATTAATGGTCAATTAAAAAGTGTAAATTCAAAAAAAGTAGAGGGTAGTTCTCAAGAGATTGCTGATAAATACATGATCCACTTAAATACTTCTTTAAATAACACTTTATCTCAATTACAATACACTGAATATAAAGACAACATTGCAAGTAACATAAGTTCAGTGTTTGTCGCACATGTGACAGAAACTGAAATTATGGATATAACTAAAAATTTAAAAAACAAAATGAGTTGTGGAATTGATGAAATACCCACTAAAATCCTTAAACTTTGTATAAAGGAGATAGTGAATCCTCTCACTACAATCATAAATAATTCACTAAAATCTGGTGTATTTCCTGAATGCCTGAAAACTGCCATAGTAACACCTGTTTACAAAAAGGGTGATCCTAAATTAATTAATATCTATAGACCAATTAGCCTTCTATGTTCCTTTTCAAAAATCTTGGAAATGACTATGTATAAGCGGATATCAGAATTTTTGACAAAATGTCATATTATTATCAACAATGGTCAACAGGGAAAATCAACTCAGACTGCGATTTTTCAATTTGTCTGGGATATTTTGAAATGTACTGAGATTGGTCATATGGCTTTGGGTCTCTTTTTGGACCTATCACAGGCATATGACTGTTTAGTGTATGACATATTATTTGATAAATTGGAGAAATATGGTATACGTGGACCAGCATTGAACTGGTTTAAGTCCTACTTGGCAAATAGAAGACATTTAGTAAAAATATATAAAAACACTGAAATAGGCATCTCATCTGAAAGCACTATCAATATTGGAGTACCACAAGGAAGTGTGATTGGTCCTTTACTGTTTGTGATCTATATCAATGATCTTCATGGTCTAGTGGCTAATACTACTTCCAGCATAACAAATTATGCAGATGATACAAACATTTTAGTCAGTGGTAAAGACATGTCTGTTCTAAGCGTTAACGCTAGTTTAGAGTTCCAGAAAGCTAAAGACTGGTTTTCTATGAATAGGTTGGTTTTAAATCAAAATAAAACAGATCTTATTTTGTTTAAGACAAATTATGCACATTCAGATATGCCAAACAGTATTATTGTAAATAATGACACTTTAAATATTAGCAGCAGTACCAAATTTTTAGGATTATTACATTGACAGTTTATTATGTTGGGATAAACATGTTGACCAGTTATGTATGTCTTTGAATAAAGTGATTTACAGCTTTAGTTCTAAAAAAATACATGAATAATAACTCATTAAAAACAGTGTATCATGCTAATTTTGAAGCAAAATTTAGATATGATCTAATAAATTTTGGCCACAGTAGGGACATAAATAATGTATTTCTGGTTCAGAAAAAAATAATCAGAGTTATGTTTGACTTAAAAAGTAGGGAATCATGTAGAGGGCATTTCAGGAGTAATAATATTTTAACAGTTTACGCTGTATTTATTCAAGAATGCTTACTGTTTCTATATAAAAATAAAATACTCTTTAGGAACTTTGAGCCCAATAGTATAGTAAATACCAGGTTATATAACTATAAAATTCCAATACACAGGTTAAGTATAACAGAAAAAAATGCTCTTTATTGCTGCATCAAATTGTTTAATAAACTGCCTGAACCTATTAAAAGGGAGGAAAGATTAAGTTTGTATAAACATCAAATATTTAAATTACTGGTAGCTCTTGAGCCATATTCTGTGGAGGACTATTTGTATATGTAACGGTTAGGAATAAGTAAATAGAATTTTCGTTTGTGACACTGTTTTTTTTTAAATAATTTTATGTTCAGGGAATGTATATTATTTTCTAAAAATAAAGATATTGTTATTATTGTTATATACATCTAAAAGTCATCTATTCTTTTTTCTATTTCAGAGTCCATTATCCAACTTTCACAACCATACAATAAGACAGAAAAAACATAACACCTAATCATTCGGATTCTAAACTGCAGAATAAGGTCTAATCTTGTAAAAAACTGTTTTCATGCTCATGAATGTCTTCCTTGCTTGCTCGATTCTTAATAGTATTTCTTTTTTTGGATTACACAGACTATTGATATTTGCTCCCAAATATTTTATGGAATTTACCTGTTCTATTATTTGACCCTTGGCCACATATACGTTTATTGGTGTCTTTGAAAATACTAAAGTTTTAGTTTTGGAAACGTTTAGATGTAAACCGAAAATTTCGCTGTGGTGAACTACCGCATTTATTATATTTTGTAGTTCTTATGCGTTGCTTGCTATTAAGACAGTATCATCAGCATATCTGATGTTGTTTATGCTGATTTCGTTAATTTTAATTCCGCCTTGGACCTGGTCTAATGCTTCTCTGAATATAGATTCCGAATACAAATTAAACAGTAGCGGTGATAAGACGCAACCCTGTCTCACTTCCCGTCGGGTTTGTATATCTTTGGATGTTGTGTGCTCTATTTCAATTGTTGCCGTTTGGTGCCAGTATAATTCTGAGATAATTCGCAAATCTTGTTGGTCAAGTCCAGTTATTCTCAGAATTTCGTCATCTTTTGATGGTTAACACAGTCAAATGCTTTTTAATAGTCAGTAAATATGCATATACATCTACATTCATGTCTCTGAATAGTTGCTTTAACACATTTAAAGCAAAAGGAGCCTCTCGTGTTCGCAATCCATTTCGAAATCCGAGTTGAGTGTTACTGATCTGGAACTCACACTTCTTGTAAATTAGTGTATTGATAATTCTGAAAAAAGTTTTATGGACATGAGACATTAAGCTTAATATTCGATAATCATCGCATTGTAAGGAATTCGATCTTTTTAGTTATGCTACGAATGTTGACTTTAGCCAGTCTGTTTGTGAAGTAAATAATTCTTTCCGAAGTGAGAAAGGACCTAAAAGCAGCAAGATCAGCTTCCACCTCAGTTGGATAGATTTCATATCGTTACATTCTAGAAGGTTTTTTCATAGTGCGAAGTCCTTCGGAAGCCAAAATGAGTTTAACGTTTATGTTGGTGAATTCTTCGTAGCATACTGAAGCATGTTGGTCGTGTACAAAAGCAAGATGTAGTTTAATGGCTTTTAAGATATCAGGTTCCTTTAATTTTGCTAGAAGATATCGACTGTTCGAGTTATTGGTTAATCTAACTCTTGGTGGGGTCAAAAGATCCAGATCTAATGCAGAAGCGTATAAACCTATTTGGTGAACTTAACCACAAATAGCCACGATTCGTCGGGCAAAAAGATAATAGATGAACATGAAATTCGAACAACCTGGTGTAATTGTATAAGTGAACTCTATAATGATGATAGACCCGAAGAACCGGAGACTTTAGTTGAAGGTGAAGGACCAGAAATACTAAAAGCAGAAATACTGCATGCTATAAAGTTAGCAAAGAACAAGAATGCCGTTGGCCATGATAACATACCGACAGAGATGTTAAAGCTTATAAATGAGGAGAACATTGGAATACTGGTCAAACTTTTCAATGATGTTTATTCGACTGGTGAAATCCCTGAAGATTGGTTAAAGTCCGAATTCATAACACTACCAAAAAAACAACGTCCGAAAAACTGTAGCGATTATAGAATGATAAGCCTTATGAGCCACGCTTTGAAAATATTTCTACGCATTATCCACAGTAGAATCAAAGATAAATGTGAAGAAGATCAGGATGAAACACAATTTGGCTTCAGAAAT